TGGTGAAATCTTGGCTCACCGCAACCTCTGCATCCTGAGTAGTTGGGATTACAGGGTTCAAGTGATTCTCCTGCCTTAGCCTCCTGAGTAGTTGGGATTACAGGCATGTGCCATGACACCTGGCTAATTTTGTATTTTTAGTGGAGATGGGGTTTCTCCATGTTAGTCAGACTGGTCTCAAACTCCTGAGCTCAGGTGATCTGCCTGCCTTGGCCTCCCAAAGTGCTAGGATTACAGGTGTGAGCTACCATGCCCGGCCTCAGCAACCATTAAAAAAATTTTTTTCACCTCCTTGCTGTCAGTGTGCAATTCAGCAACTATCAACTGAGCATCTGCAATGTGGTAGGCACAAAAGAGGGCAGAGCAGAAACACAGGCCAGGGCCTCGTCCTGCAGACAGCAAACAAAAGGAACCCTTGAGCTTCTCCATTCCCAGGACAGAGGACTCACCCTACCCCTGAAGCTGGTGTGGAGAACATCACCAGGGGTGAGTACCACTGCCCACTTCAGGACAACCCTTTTCTCCCGGTGCACCTGTGGGACCTCCATTCCTGTTTGAACTGGAACTGATTTGGATGGTCATTTCTGTTTTCCTTCATTGCTTTCGGAGAGCTGTGGCTAAGAACATTGGCTGCAGAGACAGACCTGAATTGGATTCTGCCTTGGCCACTAACTCACTCTGGCGCCTTAGTAGATCCCCCTCCCTCTGTCAGCTTCATAGCCCCCTCTCTATGATGGTCATAGTGCACACCTCTCAGCGCTGTTGTGAGGCTTGTGCTGGGTGACATCTTTAGGGTGTGTAGGCTAATGCTTGGCACCTGGTAGGAACTCAGAAAATGTGACTTAGTTGGACAAATTCTGATTCCTCTTGGCCAGGATCCTGCCTGGTTGGGTTTTCTTTGCTTTGATTCCTCGCTTTGGGGCTAAGGGCATTTTACAGTTTGGGGTTAAGAGCTGAGACCTTGGGGTCAAGACCATCTGGGAGTGTGTCCCCACTGTGACCTCTAATACCTATGTGACTAGACAAGTCACTCAACATCTTGGAGCCTCTGTTTTCTCATCTGTAAACTGGGGATATCAATAGTACCCACCTCACGGGGGGGTTGTGAGAATTAAGAGAGGTAACGCACCTAAGGTGCTTGGTACAAGGCCTGGCGTGCACACTGCCTTCTGGAAACTAACCATGGTATGTGCTATAACCATTTTTGGTTTTCTTCATTCAGTCAATCTGAGAAGAGTGTGGAAGGCTTTGGGGTGGGTGTGGGGGAGTGGTGCACAGGACCTGAGCTGTCCAATTTGATGAGACCGCTCAGGGAAAGATGCTACTCAGAAAAACACCACTGTGGGCCGGGCGCAGTGGCTCATGCCTGGGATCCCAGCACTTTGGGAGACTGAGGTGGGTGGATCACTTGAACTCAGGAGTCTGACACCAGCCTGGGCAACATGACAAAACCCCGTCTCTACCAAATATATAAAAAATTAGTCCGGCGTGGTGGAAGGCGCCTATATCCCCAGGTAGTTGCCACTTGGGAGGCTGTGGTGGGAGCATCACTTGAGCCTGAGAGGCAGAGGCCACAGTGAGCCAGGGCAGTGTCACTACCACTTCATGCCAGCCTGGGCAACAGGGCAAGGCATGGTCTCAAACAACAACAACAACAATCACCACCCATCACTGTGAAAATTGGTAGCTTATTGGAGAATGGAGTGCTGATATGTATTCTGAGAATCTTCTCCGCAGTGCTGTTGAGATAGAAAGGAATCACTTCTCAGTTCTTAGAAAGGACCTGGGTAACTGGAAGTATGAATTCTGAAGGCATTCCTTCTTTTTTTTTTTTTTTTGAGACGGAGTTTCGCTCTTGTTACCCAGGCTGGAGTGCAATGGCATGATCTCGGCTCACCGCAACCTCCGCCTCCTGGGTTCAGGCAATTCTCCTGCCTCAGCCTCCTGAGTAGCTGGGATTACAGGCACATGCCACCATGCCCAGCTAATGTTTTGTATTTTTAGTAGAGACGGGGTTTCACCATGTTGACCAGGATGGTCTCAATCTCTTGACCTCGTGATCCACCTGCCTTGGCATCCCAAAGTGCTGGGATTACAGGCTTGAGCCACTGCACCCAGCCCAGCATCCCTTCTTTTGTATGATGTCTGCAAAGGCTGCTAAGGACAGCCTTTGTGTCGTGTTGGAAGTAGTTACTAACAACGATCTAAAGCATACTGACTCATGTCTGAGAAGCATGGGGTTAACAGGAAATAAAATCCATACCTGTAAAGCAAACCAGTGCCTGTTCTATTGGCAATCAGAGTTTTTAAAAGCTCAATTGATTTTTTTTACTATAATAAGTGAGACTTGCTCATTGTTAAAAAATTCAAACAACATTGGGAGTAGGTTTATTTGTGTATCTCGTAAACATGCTTTGAGCGCCTACTCAACGCTGGGCACGATGCTGGGGATGTGGCTGTGAAGAAAGAGGACGAAAAGCCCGTGGATCTTATGCTCTACTAGGGAAGAGACGTTGGGAAAAGATAATGAAAAACAAAAATCCCCTGCTGACCCAGGGAGCCCTTCCACAGATGTAGAAGAGAAAGAACACAATGTTATCATGAGTAAATATTAAGCCAGAATGCAATGCACGTCACTGGCAATCTGCTCAAAAGCTGCAAAGACAGCGAGAACTCTCACCCCTTCATGTAGCCAAGCAGATCCGACCCGTTACAACCCTGTTAGATCAGCAACAGGCAACCCTCAAGTGAGGGGATTTGACAGCACATTTGTCTCCCATAGTTTTTCTTATGTTCACTTGGTAACGGTGGCTGATTTGTGGTTGCTAATTGTCATTATTCAAAGAAATAATGAACTTCTTATATCTCCGTGACAAGGATGTGGTTACAACTTGCAGCTAGTCACCTAAATTTAATTCTCATCTAGACTGGAAGATAGGAAGATGACCTTCCTTGATGTTTACATTTCAAAGTGAAGGCTCTTAGACCCCTGAGAAAAATAGTCCTGGGTGGTAAAACCTGCAAGAGGCTTAGCTAGCTTTTAAAGAGATTTACATCTCAAAAGGCCAGAGGAAGAATGGATAATTACATGTTTTCTCAAAGAAATGATCTAAGAGAAAGAGGGGGTCCTTTTCACTTTTCGTATCAGAGAAAATTTTTTTTTCTTTTGCAATTTGTATCCACCCTTACAGAGACAGACATTAAACAAATAAATATGTGCTATAATGAGGAAGCTGAGCAAAGGCCTGGAGTGTGACAGGAAACGTTATGAAGGGCAGTCAGGTGCGGCTCACTGTAGAGCGAGCGCCACCTGCCCAGAGCCTGGAGGGAGGAACCAGGGAAGAGACCCCAGCAGTGGCCAGTCAGCCGCTTGCTGTGTGTGTTTCCAGCCTTGTTGCTACTTAAGAACAATTGTACCTGGTTGTTGCTTTGTTTGATTTCCACCCCAAATGGGATTATAACATGTTGATCTGTATTCGCTTATTCACCCCCTGTCCTATCAGGGACATCTGTGCATGCTGGTAAAGGCAGACGGGCTTAATTTTTCCTTCCTTCCCTCCCTCCCTCCCTCCCTCCCTCCCTCCCTTCCTTCCTTCCTTCCTCTCTCTCTTCCTTCTCTCCTTCTTTGCTTCCTTGTTTGCTTCTTGATGGAGGTTTGCTCTTTTGCCCATGCTAGAGTGCAGTGGTGTGATCTCGGCTCACTGCAACCTTCACCTCCTGGGTTTCAGAGATTCTGCTGCTGCCTCAGCCTCCACAGTAGCTGGAATTACAGGTGCATTTCTTTCTTTTCTTTTCTTTTCTTTCATTCTTTCTTTCTTTCTTCTTTCTTTCTCTTTCTTTCTTCTTTTTCTTCTTTCTTTCTCTCTTTCTTCTTTCCTTTCTTCTTTCTTTTTTCTTGCTTTTTCTTTCTTTCTTGAAGCATTTGCTGTCTGGAGTGGGAGGAGAAGGACACATAGGGTCTGAGGTGGGAAGAGGCTGCCAAGTAGAGGGATAGCATGGGTGCATTTCCAAAGGAAGAAGAGAACTTGGCATGTTGGGAGGTGAGAGCAGCCCTCTGGGAAGGCCAGCATGGCAACGATGCCAGGAGCATGAGACAGCTTGGAAAAACTACCGAGAGACTCATGGCCATGTGGATTTCAGCTTTGTAGCAGGGGGTAACTGTTGAGGGGTTTTGATCAGGGGAGTCACACAATCCAATGGCCACTATCCCTTGGCTTGCTGGGTAGAGAATGAATTGGAGGAGGCAACACAGGAAATGGGAGAGCCGTAGAGAGAGTTGTGCAGAATTCTGGGTGAGAGAGGATGTGGCTTGGGCTCTAGTGGTGACAATGTTGATGGCCCGGAGGTGGGATGAGGAGAGGAGGACCCCACGGAGGCCTTAGAGGCTTCACCTCCAATCACCCAGCTGGATATTCAGGCATTTATGGGCATTGCTGCCATGTGGAAGTAAATCAAGATTCTTCCTTTAAACAAGTTGTATTCCAGGGTTGGTGTGAGACATCAGTGGACGTGTCCCGAGGCAGCCTAAGGGAGATAACTCAGGGCTCCAATCTTCTCTAAACCCACATCCTAGTTAGCTCCTCAGCACTGTGGGCCAATGCTGAGTCTTAGTACTTGGCAGATAGTAAGCGCATCGCCCATGTACCTGCTACCATTTACTATGACGACAATGAAGGTTACCATTTGTTATTATTGTTACTATATTACTATTATGCAGAGGCGTTTCAGGCTGCTATTAATCACGCTCTTCCTATGCCAGGCTGTGAGTACTTCCTGCAGATAGTCACATCCCTGTGGGGTTAGAATGATCACCATTTCGATTTTGAAGGTTAAGGAATTGAGGCTTGGGGAAGTAAAGGGAGGATGGGGGCGAGGGGGGGATTCTTGGGATTCTGCCCGATGTGGGAGGCTTCCTGAGTCACGGCTTGCAGACCTATGTCCACTCATTCAAACGATTCTTATCCGCATTTCGGGCACGCTCCGCGGCTGAGGGTTGCGCGCTCGTGCAGGAAGGCGATCTGGATCTGACGGTTGCAGGGGGCTGCAGAGCTCGGCCTCCGAAGCGGGCGTTAGGGGACCGGGGCTCCTCGGGCTTCCCACTTGGAGGTGAGCGCGGGTCCTGGAGGGGAGGGAAGCGGGTCCCGGCGCCGGATGACCTTGCACTAGGCGGTCTCGCCCACGAGGTGGCGCCGCAGGCTGTGCCAAGGCTCCGACCGCGCAAGGGGAGCGTCCCCCAAGACTTCTAGGTTTCGCGGAGTCCCAGCTTGCAAAGGCAACTCCTCAAGACAGCCCGGGCAACTGAGCCTCTAGACCCCTCGCAAGCCACAGATTTGCCATTTTTTTTTTTTTGTCGGGTGAAGCTTGTCGTAAATTCATCAGGCGTGGGCGCCACAGAGCTAAACAGGAAGCTAGCATTAACTACTCTTTTCTTTTTTTCTTAAAATTTTTTATTGCATTAAACTGAGTCCCCATTTTTGCACTAGGTACGACTCGACACAGTATCTTCAAACAGGAATATGGCAACATAGCAGGTGCAGTTTTACAGATAGGGAAACTGAGTCTCAGACTATGAGCGGCGTTGTGGAACCAATATAGAACCCAAGGCTATCTGGCTCCCAAACGGCTTTTTCTAAATTCCCAGATTATTGAATAAACGTTCCCTACTCCTCCTGCAGATTCTCCCATCAGCTATTGGCTGGGGAAGGACATAGGGGAAGTAGAGGGAGAGATTTTCTGGGAAGTGAAAGTGATTTCTGGGTACTGCACAACAGTTGCGTTCGTGGCTGGGCATGGGTCTTCAGGATACACTGAGGTGGGAGGTGACTCTGGGATCAGGAGTGACAAGCCCTCCCTTGCCCACAGGGCCAGATGGTTGTGTGGCTGAGTGAAGCAGCAAGGACAAGGCTTGTGCAGGAGGAACACACTCGTCTAAGGATGGCAGCTGCTTCTGGGCTCTAGCACACGAATACTGCTGGCTATGTGGCCAGAGGTGGCCACATCCACTGATCTCTTAAGATAACTGTGTGATAGATTGCAAAAATGGCCACAAATCCTTGCCCTCCTATCCTGGGTGGAGTCTCTCCACCCCTTGAATCTGGGCTGAGCCCAGCCCAAATTGCTGAACCTCAAAGAGAGAGTAATGGTTGGTTATTACATGGAAAATGATAACTGATTCAAGCTGAATATCTGGGTTTTGAGAATGTAAAATCTCCCGATTTTTAAATGTTGGCAATGAGTTTAAAAAGAAAATCTACAGGTCAAAGCAAATATTTAAAAAACGATGAGTTTGTGTCCTTTGTAGGGACATGGATGAACCTGGAAACCATCATTCTCAGCAAACTGACACAAGAACAGAAAATCAAACACTGCATGTTCTCACTCATAGGCAGGTGTTGAACAATGAGAACACATGGACACGGAGGGGAGCATCACACACTGGGGTCTGTCGCGGGGGGGAATAGGGGAGGGACAGCAGGGGGTGGGGAGTTGGGGAGAGATAGCATGGGGAGAAATGCCAGATATAGGTGATGGGGAGGAAGGCAGAAAATCACACTGCCATGTGTGTACCTATGCAACAATCTTGCATGTCCTTCACATGTACCCCAAAACCTAAAATCCAATAAAAAAAATAAAATAAAATAAAAAAACAAAACAGATAATTATCTACAGAAAAAAAAAATTTCTGAATTCTACATGGAGCCCCAGCAATCACCAGTGTGCAAACAATGCTAAAACATGGGGGTATCTGATCTTTTGGCTTCCCTGGGCCACATTGGAAGAAGAATTGTCTTGGGTCACACATTAAATACACTAACACTAACAACAGCTGATAAGTTAAAAATAATCACAAAAAAATCTCATAATGTTTTAAGAAAGTTTATGAATATGTGTTGGGCTGCATTCAAAGCCCATGCAGCCCTCAGGCCATGGGTTAGACAAGCTTGCTATGAAATCTATAGAATAGGAATGAATCTTGCTTAACTGCTCGCAGCAATCTTGGCATAGGTAAGTCTTAGTAAATGTATACATACTAATAGAATGTGAGTGTGTGCAATGATTTCTTGTGACTTCTGGCAAAATGCATCAGTGTATCTAGGCTTTCCTCTTGGAGTATGTACCAGAGGGTGGGGTCCCTTGTTCAAGATGATCTCTGGTCCTGTTTAAAAATAGAATCTTAGCGGGTGCAGTGGCTCTTGCCTGTAATCCTAGCACTTTGGGAGGCTGAGGTGGGAGGATCACTTGGGGTCAGAAGTTTGAGACCAGCCTGGCCAACATGGTGAAACTCCATCTCTACTAAAAATACAAAACTTAGTTGGGCGTGGTGGCAGGTGCCTGTAATTCTGGCTACTACGGAGGCTGAGGCAGGAGAATGCTTGAACCCAGGAGGCAGAGGTTATAGCGAACCAAGATTGTGCCACTGTACTCTAGCCAGGGCAACAGACTGAGACTCTGTCTAAAAAAAAATAGCATCTTTATGCTTTAGTAACTGCAAAGTTCCACTGAGGTCACCTGTTGCAGTGGGCCTGGGCACAGCAGAATTTTAGCTTCTGCACATTAATGTGATTTAATCACTTCAGCTGGTTATTAATCAGTGGGTATTGACAAGAGCTGGGAAATGATTATTTTGAATCGGTGTCCCTTAGAAGTGCTAGGCAAGGTAGCAAAAGAAACTAGACTCTTCTTTTACACCCGTTTTTCAAGGTTTCTAAGTTATTTTCCCCACACTGAAGCTGTTAAAAACAATTTTGGTTCTAAACACCTGACATAACATAATTAAACAGATGTCATTCCCTTAGATTTGCGAAATTAGGAAAAATAAAAATAAAAAGCCTAAAAATGTAGGAGTGACCACTGATTCTTTCAGGTAAATTTGTCTCTGAGTTATTCACTGGTGTATCTTTTATAAGACAGAGAATGGATTGTAATGGAGATCACATTTTCAACACGAGAATCGGAGGGGACATCATCTAGTCTCCCCATCTCTATAAACACCACCTTCAACTACCTGGTTCCTCAGGCCAAAGACAGGGGTTCTTTCCATTTCCGGTTCCTAACATCCAGTCCACTGTCTTGGTGGTCCTGACTCCAGGTGTCTTTAATCTGTTCACGTCTTCCCGTCAGCACTGCTACTGCCTTAATCCAAGCTATCACCACCTTGCATCTGGGTTTCAGCAAAAGCTTCTCACCTGGTCTTTCTGCTGCCATTATTGCCCCTATCCACCCCAGCCCTCAGTCTGCTCTCCGACAGCAGCCAGAACAAACTTTGAAAAGGAAAGGTCACCCACTCTGCTCAAAACTCGTAAGTAAAATATAGGAGAAGAGAATTTTTAGGATCGGAGCTCCAAGATGGAATCCACAGAATCCACTCCAGTCTGCTTAGATGGGAAAGGTATTTTGTAAAGGATGTTAGGAGGTACCCAGAGATGACAGATCTGAGGAAACAGGTGTGTAGGGCTAGGCTTCCAGGAGTTCTGGAGAACTACCTTGATAGAGAAAAACTGCTCATAGCCACACACTGGCTGCCAGGAAATTCAGGTTTCTGCAGTGCCTCTCGCTGACCCAGAAAGCCAGACACACCTCTACCACCATCTGCACTAGCAAAGTGGTCTGGCCTCGTGCAGCCTATTTCCTCACCTTGCTGACTTCTGAATCAGAATCTCACATATGGTGACCTGCCCTGGCTGCAATGGAAGCAGGGTAGGTGGGGGTCCTGGATACTGCCATGGGAAGGCGGGGCTTTTAGTGTAATTGGCTGATGGATTCCCCTCGCCCACTGCACAGACAGAGCTGATCTGCTGATAGCAGGAATGCAGTCAAGAAAGAGTTTAATTAATGCAAAGTTAGCCATGTGAAAGTACAGGGGTTTATTACTCAAATCCTCTTCCCTGAAAATTTAGAGACCAGGATTTTTAAGAATAAATTTTTGGGGAGGGGGCTAGGCAAAGGGTGCAGCTGATTGGATGGGGATGAAATCACAAGTGTGTGGAATGTGGCCCCTGTGTTCTGAGTCAGCCTCTAGGTAGGGACCACAGGACTAGTTGAGTCAGGAGTCCCAGATCTGGGGTAAGGTCATTCATTTGGAGAAATGCCGAAGTCTGCAAAACATCTCAAAAGACCAATCTTAGGGTCCACAATAGTGATATTATCTACAGGAGTAATTGCAAAGTTACAAATCTTGTGACCTCTGGAACAACGGTTGGTTATCGTTTATGCTTACATCTTAGCAGAATTCAGGCCCCTCTTATGATCCTAATCCTGTGGTCTTTCATTATTTTTTTTACAAAGGCAGTTTCAGTCTTGAACAAGGTTGGGGCAGTTGTAGGAAAGGCTATTGTCATCTTTGCTTTAAGATGAAACTGTAGACTAAATTCCTTCGAAAGTTAGGTTGACCTATGCCCAGGAATGAGCAAGGACAGCTTCGATGTTAGAATGACGATGGAGTCAGTTATCTCATATTTCTCTTACTGTCATAACTTTGCACAGGCAGTTTCATTGATGCCGTCTGAAACCACCAAAAGATGAAAATGAAAAATTTGCCTTGCCATAATTATAAATAGGTGTGCAAATCATATCCCATGGTCAACAAACAAACATTTTTGCACCAGGAAACAAATCAACATACTAGGTCACCCTATTTTTTTTTTCTGAGACGGAGTCTCAATCTGTCACCCAGGTTGGAATGCAGTGGCATGATCCTGGCTCTCTCCTGCCTCAGCCTCCTGAGTAGCTGGGATTACGGGTATGTGCCACCACACCCAGCTAATTTGTGTATTTTTAGTAGAGACGGGGTTTCACCATGTTGGTCAGGCTGGTTTCAAACTCCTTGACCTCGTGATCTGCCTGCCTTGGCCTCCCAAAGTGCTGGGATTATAGGCATGAGCCACAGTTCCTGATTGACCCTGTCTAGTTCTAGCACTAAAAATAAATGGAAACTTAAGGATTTTACATAAGTCATTGACTCCCTAATAATACATTTTTATCATTGGTTTTTGTAATGCTGATATGGGACAATATGTCACAACCTTTATAGGTTTAATAATCACCTGAGAAAGGTGCTATTTTAAAATTTTACCATGAAGAAACTAATTGTAAACTTGAAAATCTTG